TGCCACTGTGTGGAAATAGTTGTATGAATTGTCGGCACTTTATCTATTGTAAAAAATGGTTAGAATTTACCATGTTTTCCTGCCAGTTGGCATTGAGAGTGACTGACACTTGATGGTCAGAAAAAAATTACTAAATAGATATGTGTAAAAAATATATAATAATAATAAAATAAAAAAATCCCTACTTTCTCTCTTTTCTATGTGCGTTCATAAATTGTATTAATTTGTAAGTGTCATATTTGGCAGTTAGCATTAAAGTTATATCACTAATAACAGTGGCATATGAGAAGTTACCATAGAAAAAAAATCTAAAATATGCCTTTTTCGAAGCTGCTGTATATAAAACACACAAGGTGGCTGAATTTGTATGCTGAAGCTTATAGGCGTTCATTATTTTCACTCAATTTAATTCGTTTTTTAGCACCCCCTCTGAACTAATGCGAAACTAAACGCAAACAGCGTTGTCGCGCAGCCTACCTCTCTCATTCGGCATTAATCCAATTAACTCGTGCTATTTCTCCATGTTGAGAGTTTGGTGTTGCACATTTTGCTAAGCATTCTTATCCTTTCCTCCGATAAACTGAAATAACAGGAGTGTGTCTATCTCACAAATGTAGAATCCGTCTCTGCAGTCATCTCAACCATCTAATTCCAGCAACAGAAGACAGACGAACTATTTTACCGGCGGAATTTTTTCTCTGGTGCTGTTTTGCGGTGTTGGTAAATTTGCCACTTAATTTAGAGTTAAAATATGTTGTTGTAACTTGCGTTACTGAGATTGTAACGAGTAATAATATTACCCAAATCGTATTAGTAATGCGTTATATTACTGCGTTACAGCAAAACGTAATATACTACTGTAATATTATTACTTTTGTAATGCATTACTCCCAACACTGGTAACCAAAGGTTAATGTAAGGACTAGCTACTTGTGCAACATCTCCCAAAATGGCCATCAATGCGTAAAACAATGAAAACATTCCTCCTGCGAGACATGGTGGGCGTTTTTCTGGTTTTTAATTCAACAGGTTGTCCTTCACAAGGGAAATGCATGTGGGATATGATATCCTAAAACTGTATTGAATGT